AGGTATACTCTTCGAAATAAATGTACCTAAGATATACTTTCCAGAAATAAATACACCTAAGGTATACTTCTTCCAAAGAGGTATACCCAAAATATACCCATCAATGTGCCCAATTCTGGACTACTTAAGGTATACCAGTTGTTTCATTTCTGGTACACATTAGGTATACCTAACTTACGCATACAGAGCGTACCTTGGGTATACTTTCAGTATACTTGATTTTGGTAAGGGAAGGGTTAATAAGATAATCAACACAGCTAGAATATACCGGTATTGTTAACAAATAAATAGCAATCCATAAAAGTGTAAGTTGTTTGTAATAAGCATAATAAAAAATGCATTGTGAATCATGAATTTGAAAAGATTTCCTTACTTCATAAAATCTAATTTGTATTGGTTTGCATAAAAAACAATGTATATTAAAAAGCAAGTTTTAACTGATTCTGTGTATTGGGGCCATAGTAGCATTTAAGGGTAACATCTTTGTAGCCAGCAGTTGTGTAATATACTGATTACAACAATTGACTGACCAACTAAATTAGGGGGTTGTTGTACAAGAGCATGTTACCGGTATATTTTTTAGTTTAATCATTACACTCATTAGCAGAATATTATCTTTTTATGTTGTTTTTTATCTTGTAATTTGGCATACAAGTACTCTCATTACCCATAACACATTTGCTCATTCAGTGTCCACCATTCATGAAAGGCATGAGAGAACTGAAATTATCGCATTTGCTCTATTAAAAAAGCTTATTTGCTTACATGAATGACAGGGGTATGTCTATAATCAAAGTAAGTCATATTTTAATGATCCAGAATACAATAAGGCAGTTCATGTACATTTCTATATTAGAGATGTATTTAAAATAGGAACAAACACAATACTTGTTTGCATTTCTTGTTTAATTAACTCGCTGGAGATTAATAATCATAGAAAGTACTGGGTGTTACATTCACCCTGGTCTTAACAAATGTCAGCAATTGATCATGTCCCAACAGGCACATTGTGATGACAGCTGTCCTCTGCAGACTAGATGCATTGCTTAAATATCATCCTCCATGTATACAGTTGTCATTGAAGCATGACCATGTATTATCGAAACAAATACATGTATACATTGTATATTTCAAGTATCAGTAACAAACAGATGAATAAATTATAGAATTTATTGCAAACTATATTATTTAAAAAAATATTTATAGCTTTCATATTTGAGATTTGCATGTAAATAAAAAAGGTTTTTCATGAATTTCACATCTTTTTATTATTATTAAATCAATTATTTTGATCTGTTATATTATATGTTGTGTACATAGATTACTGTGAATTAAATGTGTACAGTTTTCACATGTCAACCTAGTCAGAAATTTACAACTTTCCCTCATACATTGTAAGGTATGATGGATGTATAATTTGATGTGTAAAACAATATTTATATACAAATTGTGACTCAGTGGTGTATTTATGCTTGTTTCATGAGATAGAAATAAAACTATTTATTTCCCTAAATTTAAGTTGTTTCAATATTTGTGTTTTATGATTAAGCTGTTATTTGCTACGTTCACACGACAGCATTTAATCGGAGCTCAAGCCAAGTTTGACTCCAATAAACCCCCAGGGTTGAACTCCGATTGGGTTGAGCCCCGACATGGCCCTAACCATGTATACCCAACTATTGGAGCCCAAGTCACACCCTCAATTGTCTTCAAGTAACCTCTCATTTCAATTATGGCGGAGACAACATCGTTCGTAATTTCATGCAATTCTGGCTTGACAAAGAGGTTTGCACCCTAATATCTATTTGGCAAAAATAGATAAAAAAAATACTGCGATAGATTGATAGCTCAACTTGACAACTGTTACACATAACAGTTGAACAATTACAAATGGTAATTTTGCATGACAATAACTTAAGCGAATAGACTGCAACACATTTTAGCTGCCGTGTTGCCCGTCTATTTGAGATACTAGCACCTAAATCATAACATCCATGCATTGTCTTTTCTACCTCCATGCTAAGACTTGTGACTGTTTACTTTTGTCGCCCAGCTCAACACAAGCAAGACACTAAAATCATTTTCAGCCATGGTTTTTCATACTAATTATTTGAGGGCACTGTTCCGTTGGCTCTGAACGACTGAATTGAACTCTCGCAGATCTTGGCTCTCATTCTGCCCGACCTTGTAAACACATTAGAGATACATGTAATCTCCAGTTAATCAGTGGGACGAGCAGTAGTTTGGCTCAGATAGAATGCTGTTGTGTGAAGGTTCAAATGATCACTGGGTGGCCATATTATTATTGCACAAAACATTACTTGGTATTATGCCATACAATTATATTTGTATTTATGGGTAAAGGGACATACTGCTGTACGCAATGAACACAATGAAAGTTTTTGAACTGATATCTCAAGAACCAATCACTAGATTTAAATGAAGCTTGCATAGACCTAATTAGTCTTATATAATTAGATTTATAATTCGGTCTCCATCCGTCCAGAGCCATATTTCAGAACCCTTTGAACAAAGTCTGTTCATTCATATTCAATATCTGGGACATGTGTACATGCAGTGGTTTACTGATTCAATCTGAGATGACTGACTGGCAGCCATTTGTTTTTTCAAAAATGTGGTATCCTGTGTATGGTTTGTCAGTTTTTGTCCAAATTTGGTACATACATTGTACATTTTAGATTACATGCCCATGACAATTTGTACAATCAGATCAAAAATAGCTGACTGATCGCCATCTTGCTTTCTGACCATACTACTACATGGCTTAGGGACCATTTTCAATCATATATGGCACATACATCATACATATTGGAATACATGTTCATATCGGTTTGTTTCATAATCAGATCAAAAATGGTTGACTGGCATCCATCTTGTTTTTTGAAAATACATTTTGAGATACATGTCTATGATGATTTGTTTTCTTTTTCGTATCTCTGTACATGAGTCTGGACAAGTGAAATTCAGTTTGGATACAAAAAAATACACGAATAGCATATCCTGTTTAATTTCAACCATATATTACGATTATGGAAGAGTCATTTAATACACTTAAACAAGACCAGCCAATTATTCACTCCAAATTATTAACTATGCTTTTGGTACATAAAACTTTATTTTTGTCATGAATAACATTTCCCCTAATTCCAACAGGAACTATGTCATTAACAATGACTTGTTCATTTGGGGTTGAAATTCATGTACATAATATTTAGCCTATTTTAAGCTAGTATGCAGATTCAAGAACTACTCGTCAGTTATCAATGAAATTCTGTAGCTATGTATTCCATTACAACTTGCCTTTATACCGAGTTTGAATACAATTCTTCCATGTATGCCCCAAACACTAGATAAAACATTGTCAACCGAAAATGACCATATTTTATCCGAAAATACACATACCGCACATAAAATGTCTTTAAGATATGCATTCCATTATATAATTTGTAGTTTTTTATCAATTTTAAAGAAAACTGCTATAAATACCCACTGTATGCATGTCACCTACAATACATACACCTTGCACCTACAATACATTGTCTATGTAAGAAATTGTGCACAGGACAGATCATGGTACCCAAATTATAAACCCCTATTCTTCCATTTTGCAGTATGCATGCAATGGTTACCCAAACAACACACCAGTTACTTCTAGTTTGTGCACTGCCAAAAAAAAGATTGACATGTAACCTGGGTGTGTGTACCACAAACTCCTCCATAGGTATTCATAACAGTATGACTTTGGGAAAACCTTGGTAAAGGTCTTTGTTACAATAGAAAGACTGTCAGTCAGCTGTGTTCCAAACATGGAATTTCGGCACAGCATGTATACAAACATTAAAAACGACTAGCAGATCATCTTGAATTAATACAAACACACAACATTTATAACATTTTGGAAATTATTTTTATTGCCATCAGAAGGCAATGTGGTTATAGGAAGAAAAAAATCAGCATTATTTACATAACAACAAAATTCATATTAAATAACTTGCCAAAAAATACAATAACCTTGAGTAATACAAAGTAATAGTAACATGATTCTAGTTAGTCATCCTGTAATCCACCCTACCTAACATCATGAGTCATGATTTAACCTATTTGTGATTCAAGAATTATTCAAATTATCCGAAAAATTAATACTATTAATTTGTTGTAAAACAAATTTACTTCCAACTACTTCTATTTAGAAAATAAAACCAAACGTTTTGTTCTGGAAAGCGTGGCCGGAACTGGTTACCACAATGTCACATATAGAGGGTGCTAATCAATATTGCTCAGCAGGTCAAATGCATATAAAAATCCATGTTGCATCAAACAAGAAACCTTTAAATTACCCCTATACCTCTGTTTACATTGACAAAATCAAATAACTCTTGGTTGGGGAAGGTGTATCTATAACAGGTTGCTTGTATCAAAACCTTCAAAGAAACATCTTAAAATGACCTATTGGATTGGCCACGCATAGTTCTACCAAACCAGACATTTACAAATCTAGTCCAGCATGTAACAATATTATCGGTATAAAAGAAAACCAATCCATCAAGATACCACTACAAATTAAATGACAAACAATTGTTTGGGTAATTCTTATTAAATACAAAGTAATAATTAACATCAGAAAAAGAGTAAATATATAATGCAGAAAAAAATATTAAGGATTTTAGATACAACATCATACTCGATCATTCCAAACTGTCAATGTACACAAAGTTAATGTATTAAGTACACATTTATAAAACAAGAATGTCAGAGAAAGAAATGTATGAATGTCAACCTTTAGACATTTCTGTTAGTAAGAAGCCTTCACCATCAGCTAAACTAATTAATATACATGTACACAAGAATAAATGCACATCACAAAAATAAGGTAAAAAAATCAAAATATTGATCAAAAAGATTAATTGCAACATTAGTATCATTTCGTTGCAATATACTTTAAGCGTATCCATCACATTCAAGCAAAGTTTGCCACGAAATACAAATAAATAGTTTTGAGATCTAACTTGTAGAAATGTAATTTGTCACATTGTTCTCAATCATTGTATGATTTGTTTGTGTTAAACCTAATTCACATCACGAGACTAAAGAAATACAACCCTGTAAAGCAGTAGGAACCAGTTTTTGGGGGGAAAAATGGTAGAAACACAATCAACTTGGAAGTAAAAATTAAGACAAGTGTGTAAATATACCCTGCAACATGTAAGATTTCAAAAATATATAATCAAGCGTAGATATATCATTTCCTTTTCAAGTAATGAAAAGAATACAGCTAAACTCTTCTTTACCTCAAGATCAGATGAAGTGTTGAAAATTAAAGTCTCCACTACCAGCTATAATAATCATGTTTCAGGGTGTAGACAAATTGTAATACTTTAAATGTATAGAACGTTTAGTGTAATTACTTGATAAAACAAAGAACAGGCTTGCGAACACATCACAGAGTGAGACTGTAATATACAATTATGAACCACTAAATACATTTCAGCATTTGTAATTGTTCATCAGTTATTCGCATGTTGTAGCATAGCTATGGTGATGATGTTGATAGAAAAGTGTTACATTACAATTTATGCAGCCAGATATAACTGATTAAAAACTGGAGTTATCCTTGAACCTAAAGGAACGGTGTCATATTTGGAAGATAATCTATAAATGTGAAAGGCGTACCACAATGGAATAAACAGATGATTATATAGCAGCACCAGTTGTTCACTGAATAAATTATGGCAGACTCACTGATATATACATACATATTTTACCATTCAGAATCTCCAGTGGCTTTCTGAAACACGTAGTCTTTGGTTTTTAAATTCATAATACCATCCTTTAAATGAAATTTCCATCTATTTCTGTTTCGGCTAATCTGAAATTTACAATTTTACAACTTAAATTAAAATTATTGCTATATGGAAATAATACACAACACAAGTAAAAGGGGCTCGTGTGATGTTCTTGTTAGTCGTCTGATAATGTAAATCATAGATTTGATTCCCATCATGTAGGGGTTAGCAGTGTACAAGATTGAAGCCAGCCACCATAGAGGTCCCTACCAGCCATATCAAGAATAATAACGAGAGTGGTAACCGTGTACGCACAATGACACCCCCCCCCCATCTGTATGTGGTTGACCTTGTGTAATATCAAGGAATGACTTTGTTACGACAATGATATAGTCAAACTCAAAGATTGCATGACAATTAGGATTAGACAAAGCATAAGGGTGTTGAATGCACAAAGGTGAATAGAAAGCATGTGCAAGCTGAAAAGGCCAAATATATGTATGCATATAAGTAATCTGTATGTAAAGAGTATAACCATAAATTGACATTACATCTATGTAGGCGTGTCTATATAAACTGCTTATTATTATGGCATACCATGCTTTGTGTTGCTTCATAATATTACTTACTTTATCATACTGACAAACAACAACATTGTCTGTATCAAAGAGTTCGTTGGGATCTCCGTCGCTAACATCGTCAGCGGAATTTAGAGGTTCCTGAAACAAAATACATAATGTTCATTATGCATTTTTACACTACATCCACATCACTTCACCACACATTGAGAGAGTAATAAAAGAAACTTAGAATCAATTTTGTCATCAATGATCCTCATGCAGTGAATATCAGTTTTTGTTTATTTTAGTTTCAGCAATGCAGTTACTGTATTGACAACTACGTTTTGTAAGCTGTGAAACATTACTAGGTTCGTGTAGAAGACAAAATTTCTGTTATCGACATATAACAAGGATACTGCAAGCTTTTGGCGTGCACAGCATACAAAACCAACAGTTTTAAGGTAACGCCACAGCTGACCAGAGCTAGCACCTGACCTTGGCAATGAAACCCAAGCATTATCAGTTAGATGACACTCCATGTCAACATGGTTATGCACAGAAGCCTTGTTCTCAAAACTGGAAAACAGTGTTTAATTTTTACTTAATACTACAAAACGTACCTCATCGGCTACTCCTTCTTCATTCTCTTCATTATCATCATCATCATCCTCATCCTTCTCGTAACCTTGGTAATCATCCTCTTCATCATCCTCATCATCATCATCACTTGATGTATCGTTACCACCATCAACTTGTATAATAGTTTGTTGATTTGGTACCTGTAATCAAAATCACCATACTGAGTACACTGTACACTGTTTTAACAGTGCATAACATAGCATTAGATAGCTTTTGTTCATAACTCAAGCCTTTGTTATTTGATGAATTATAAAAACATTCTTTATCAATGTGCATAGAGTACATACCGCAGATTGTACTTGCCCAACCATTTGTTGTCGCTGTTGTTGTTGTTGCTGCTGCTGTTGTTGTTGTTGTTGTTGTTGTTGTTGTTGAAGTGGCTGTTGTTGTTGTTGAAGTGGCTGTTGTTGTTGTTGAAGTGGCTGTTGTTGTTGTTGACCAGGTCGTGTTATTTGTTGTTGTAATTGAGGTTGTTGATGTATTAATGTGGGTCTTGTTGCATGCTGTGCTTGAATTGCCGCTATATTCTGCATAGGCACTTGTTGATAAACAATCTGAGTTTGTCCACCTGGACCAGCTTGTGTAACTTGAGCCATTTGATAGGCAGGGAATGCATGAGTTGCTCCACCTAGATGTAAAATTAATCAAATAAACAACATGCAATGGTACATTGCTCACATATCGGCTAATTAATAGGTGATTTTCTGTTCAACTGCAAGATCTTGTGAGATGTGTGAAAGACCTGCACCAAGCGTCTGCCACAAAAATCAAATGATTTGATTTTGAATTTCTTTATTTTGTAGCTCACATCGTAATGTTTGACAGGAGAATATTAAGTTTCGAAATTGACCATCATCAAATGTGTACAGCACATTATTAACCATGGAAATATCCCCCAAAATACTTTGTTGAATCCCACGCGATGTTTGTCGCCACTACGAGGTTGACCTTTGTTTGATACATTTGATCTGCAGTGAACAAAAAATGGTCTATTCCTGTGCACTTTTTAGTTGGAAGTCATTAGACTAAAAGACAAATGCCATCCCTGCTGTGAAATTATGGTATCACATTACCAGTCTGGTGCATGATAAATTGCTGATATTTCAGTGTTACCATGCAACATACTAGTTTATTAAGTGTTCTCCCCAGGCTGCACCCTTGCGCCATTTGCGCAATATTTTAAAATTTGGTGCAAAATTTCAATTAAATCGGGGAACATATTGCGCAAAAAAAAAAATTGTTTCCAAACAGCTTTCCCATTTTGACCCTATGATGGCGCTATCAACGTAGTCATTTATTCTCTAAGGGGTCCCATAATTGAGCAATGTCTAACAATGTACACAACCCATTTCAAGCCTCATGGAATGTCCGCCAAAAGCAAGCCAAAACCCCGCCGAAACGCCAGAGGAATTTACCGAAACCCTGATATGGTACATGATGCTCAAAGTATCAGTGATGGACTGAAAACCCCAGCGACAGAATTAGTACTTTTAGAAAATGTTCCAGCAGACATGCAAAATACCGATGGTATTGAGTATGGTAGCGTAGCTATGACTATGGAGTCTCACTATTATAATAAAGTCAAGAAACAACGATTTTAGCAAAGTTGATTAACAACTCATACATTGCTGAAATACTCGGAAGATGAAAATTTGATGTACTGTAGTTGGTGTGTATTTTCAAAAAATAATACTGCTATGACACAGGGAAGTAATAATGGTTTAATGGTTAATTAATGGTTACACCATCGGCATGAGAGTATTGGAGACACATTAAAATTAATTCAAAATTTAAGATTTGCTTTCAAACGAGAAGCTTGGCAACTAATTTTTGTCTGCTATTCTAGATGCATAACATGGAAAAAATGTAATTCACATTATCAAAATTTATAATACATACAGAAAATACATTTAGAGTACCTCTGCGATGAATTCAATTTAAATCTGATTTTTTTAGATATCAGAAATGGACTAATAATAGATAATCAATATGCATGTTTATCAACATTAAACTAATCATGTCTGTGGATTACCTCAATGAACCAAATGAATTATTATACAAACTAAGCAATTATTATGCATAGATTTAGGTCTGTATATTGTTTCAAGGTGCACATGTACAAAGTTTCATTACAATGTGATGATTAATGCTAACGAAATTAGTGGAAAGTTAAAAAGTTAATTATTATGCAAATTAGGTAATTATTATAGATGTATATAAACCTAAAACTAATTTGATCATCACATTGTGTTAGAGTACATATGTACCAAGATTCATTGAATTAAGATATAAAAGTACTGTCACAGACCATCTATGTACGAAGTTTTATTGAAATGTGATTAGAACCAAAATTATGATTTATTACGCAAATTAGGTAATTAATATGATCTGATTTTAATTCAAAACTGAGCAGGTCTGTACATGGCTATGAAGCATCAATGTACCAAGTTTCATTGAAATGGAATAATTAGTA